GTTATCCGGGAACACATTATATTGAAATAATGATATAATCTAAAAACACATCAAACAATAAATACACTGATGTATACAGAGACCCGCGTTGAGGGTTTATTTGATTTGTCGTTTCTATATGGTTTATTTAGAACGGGTTTAAATATTAAAGAAATATATGTGATTTCTATATTTTCCTATACCAACAGTGAAGAGATTATATGATTTTCATTATAGAACCCTGAGGATTTGTGTGCAAAATTGATGTATACTAATTAGTTTGCTGTAGGTATATCTATGATCTATGATGCTGATTCCAACTTGTTACCTAGGCAATATCCATTGTCCTTCATGCATGATTTGTCTTCACAGTTGTCAGAACAATCGAGGTCACACACGTCTCCGTGTTTTCCGTTTACGCATTCTGAAATATATGAGTATTTGGGAAGAAGATAAAATATTATATGAATATATATTGACGGCCTTGAGGAATACATCGGGAAGCNATACAAAAAATAAAATAATAAATATCAGGTTAGAATACTACTTGTTGTGGAACTGTATACAAAATATATGTGAATGAGGTAATTAAACTTAAATCGACAGTCCAAATCAGTCAACAAAATTTAACCCATATTCGAAAAATGCTGCATCAGAAAGAGTTCACAATGCCGTAACACACCTTCGTATTAAACTTGAGCAAACTTGGACTATTAATCAGTTAAAAAAACAACAACAGTGATGTGTAATAGGGCTTGCTGCTATCCGTTTGTCGGTAAGGTACTCCCAACCCATCCCAATACAAATATACATTTCCCCCATAAAATACCTTATCCTGATTTGGTACGCATCCATTATTATTGGTTAACCAGTTTAAAAGTCTGTGTTACATTTATCACTGCCACTTTGACAATTTCATCATTGCACATAATGATCTACCTACCAGTACAATTTCCGTTGTTCTTCATGCATGTTTTGTCTTAACAGTTGTCAGAGCAATCACTTGCACACTCATTACCATGTTTC